TGACATTTTTCCCCCTCTGACGTTTCCTTCACAAACACTTGTACGCAGGCACGGTGGAGCACAGTGACTGGAGGAGAGGGTTAGAGTCCACGTTAACAAGGCATGTGGGAATATATACGTACACTTACCGTCCCCACCTACACATGCAGAGAAAAAAGTGTCCTGAACCTCTGCACATGATGGAAAACAGTGATACTCAAGGTTGAAACAGCTGAACACACACACACACACACACGCACACACACTGTAAGTGCCTGAAGCAGCAGCAACGAGGAAGTGGAGGAAACACCTTTGCTGAAAGGCTTCGCTCTGAGGCGTACACTCACCCAGAGCTGGCAGACACACAGGCACACACACACACACACATCAGAAGTTTGTCGTACATTACCATGTGGTTGACAGCTTCTACTCCACTCTCAGGACTCCTGTTCACACACTCCAGCCAGCGTTACAGAGTATTCCATGATCTCTGCAGGGAAACGCACTGACAGGGAACCAACAGATCTTCCCGGTGCTGTTATCACACTCCCTGTTTTTTTTTCCCTCCCTCCTTCTTATGTGTCCCCTCCCCTGTCTCTCTCTCTCTCTCTCTCTCTCTCTCCTTCTTTCTCTCTCTCTCGCTCGCTTACTGTGTCTCAGCAGGTCTTTCCAGATAGTGTGTGGGCCGGTCAGACTTCCTGACATGCCAAAGCTGTGCTTCAGCGACCAGTGGCGACCGACCACAGGGCGCCTGACTCCCTCTGGGAAAAAGACTTGCGCTCATTTACTCAGGGCTCTTATTTTGGTTGCTTCTTCAGACTAACAGCTGGGTGAAAAGTTTGTTTAGAGAGGTGGCCTGTGGGTATCTGTGGGAACCCATAGTGAGTGCTGCTCTCTTTGATTTGTGTTTATTTTTTCTATCGTGTAAACTGATGCTTTGGTGGTAGATCTACCCAGACATGAAGGGCTGGAAGCACATCATTTAGCTACAATTTCGCAAATATATTCCAAGGCCATTTTTTTTCAGTTTATACTGTATAATAATATATATTTAATATTAGTGAATTTTGTGTCATAAATAGATAAATAATCACTCTTTATTCCTCTTCTACAGCAGTCCGTGGGTGACAGTGGGTCAATTCAGACTCTCCCATTGACTTGTACAACAGATGATATGTTTAAAGCTAACTTTAACACCAAGAAATACACTTTTTCAAACTGTCGCTCTAGTTTTTTTTCTTCCTGTGTTATGATCAACATGTCAGCTAAACATCTTAAATCCCCAAGATCCAATTTAACTAATTTCATCAGGAAAAACAAGTTCTGATTACACATCATTATACCGAGGAACAGCTCTGACATAAATGCCAACCCTCTCTCTTCTGCTTCATGTTAACATTTCAGGAACGCATCTGCTGCCACACAAGAACCTGGGGCCTTTTCTCGCCTCCTCTGCAGTACTTCATGGCAGGTATGAACAAGCGAAACAAGAAAATGCAACTACTAATGAACTCAATGAAACTATTTTTCTGAAACATTTAATTAGTAACGGAAATAGCATCGGTAATTACAACTTATTTCCCTAACTTTGGCGTCTGGAGACACATGACACATCTTATGTTTATAGAGATGAACCCATAAAGCAAATAGTACTCTTACTCAAAAACATGCCAATACAGCGTCCAGAAACTCCAAAAGTATATTTAAAGAAATCATATCAATCATAATCTTCAACTTTTCAATTTAATCACAACCTGAGCCTCTTTAGTTGAACACAGCATTGGTCTAATGAGATGACAGTATGAGTTTTAAGACTCATTTTTTTTGTTCAATGCAAAGAGCTGCGTTTCCTTTTGGCTTGAAATAGTCTTGGGTTAATAAGAAATAAATAAAACCGGCTGTGAGCATTTCCTGTGGTTTGGGTTAAGCTCAGACATTGCATGTCTCCATATTAATAAGTATTAGGCGAGTATACAAATACTACTAGTACTCGTATCAGTTTGTAAAAAAAAAAAAAATAGTGTCAGGACAAACCTAGTTTTTCTTTTCCTTGGCAGAGATTTTTCCAACTAGTAAAAGAAAAAAATGCATTTATAAAAATCATTAGAGTTTTGAATTTAGAAATGTCAGAGTTGCTGTGGACCAGTATAAAACCATCACTGGTCCTGGCAGCACACGTACGTACACACGTAGAGCCTTTAGGAGCTGAATGTCAAACACATTTATAGCTGCTAACAAATTGTGCCAACTACGCAGATGTGGTCAACAACAATCTGACAGCACCCTGTGTCACCTATTATAACTTATTCTGCTCAGTGACTAAACATTCCTGCGATGTTAGTCAGTGTGAGGAACAGCGCAGCTCGCACACTGACCACTCTCACTGGTCCGAGCTGCCACACACCAGGAAACAATGCGCTCCTGGCTCTAACCAGAGAAAAGTGAACCCTGCTGTGGTTTGTTTTTCTCAACAGAAATCCAATCACCCACAGTACGTCAACAGAGTGGTTGTCAAACCTCGGATGCTACAAACCAGCTTTACTCGAAAGGAAACGGCATTCTGTGAGGCTCATTGTAACTGTATCCTCACAGCAGGTGCAAAATTAGGTTCCCACACTGTAACGTAGTATTTTAAAGTAACGTTTCAAGTTTTACACATTGATCCAGATTAACTGAGAAACTACGTAAACGTTTGGTTGAAAAGACTGTGATGAGACTGTGACGCATTTACACAATTTCTACTGCTTCATTTTTTTTTTCAGTGTCCCCAGAGGGCTGAAGGAGGGGCTACACCCTGGTCCACCACAGGGTCACATTTAGAGACAAACATTTATACACACTCACATTCAAACCAACGATCAACTGAGTAAAAAAATATAATCATGCTTTTAATATAGTTTTTGAGACAAGAACTTTCTGGAAACACTTAAAAATGATTAGTGCCAATATTAAACCATTTTGAAGTCTTAGGAACTTATTTAGTCGTTATTTATTTAGTCGCCCCCTAATGGTTTATCACATCTTCCTTCCGTCTTCCATTGCTTTACCATTAAAACGAAAGACCCAATATTAAACCATTTTGAAGTCTTAGGTCGTTATTTATTTAGTCGCCCCCGAATGAAATCTACGACAAACATAAGCACTTTTTTGTACCCAGTTATGACCAGATGCGCCTTTTTGGACAAATACGTATAACATTGTCATAAAAAAAGTTAACAATCGACATGCTTTCCCTCCAGGACATAAATAACAGTGCAGGTTCGTGGTTCAGCAACATGTGAGCACACTGCTACTCCACTCTGTGTTTACACAACACCTTCTGGTATTTAACTGAGTACCGGGTGACACTGACCTGCATTTCTGTTAGCACATGAAGGCATTACACACTCTGACTTTTGTTTTTCAAAACAGCAAATCGAAACTGTGTTTTGTCAGCAATGGACACAAACCTTTTTCTTATTTTAACAATAATGTTTGATAGACAAACAATCCATTAAGTGTGTAATATTTTCATATTAAGTCTAACAGAATGAGTCATATATTATTATTAAAATGTTCTCTGTTACTTTTGGTCAGACGATGAATCTACCCCAAACTGTGAACCAGGTAAAGTCCCAAAGAAACAGTAAAGATTCTAAGGTTGAATTTAAAGTTCCTACCTCAGCGTCCTACATAAGGTCTGGTAAGGTTTGGTAAAAGTCCAGCTGATCCCATGTGGGCTGACAGTCAGGATGACTGCTCTCTGTCTCTCTGTGTCTCTCTGAGCCCACCTGTCGCGTCCTCCTCAGCACAGTGTCACAGTGGGGAAAAAAAAACACAGTCAGCCTGAGGCACAGTTCTCACCCTGCCTCCACTGTTTGTGCGCGCTCTATTGTTTACCGGCAGCTTTGGAGTCTGCGGGGCTGTGTGTGCATCTGTGTGTACATCAGACGACATTAAACTGTGAGTGTGTGTTTGTGTGTTGGTATGTGCAGAGGCTGGTTGGGTGTGTATAAATAGCACACTGGGGAGGGACAGCGGCTCGCAGTGCAGCTGACTCAACACATTCTACTTTGGGTGAGTACTCATCACACACAGCAGTCAGTCGGCTGCTTTTCAAAACATTACAGGACAAACTGCAGCACATAATCACCGCACCTGACGACAGCAGTCTGAAGTGACAACAAGGGGACACTGATTTTTAACTGCAATTTATGCTACCAGTATAAATTGTGAAGGTCAAAGTTCAAATGTAGAGCAGCCATATTTTAGGGGGACTTCCACCCAAAATGACCATTGTTTCTCAGCCACCTACACTCAGTCCATAATAATAATAATAATAATAATAATAATAATAATAATAATAATTATTATTATTATTATTATTATTATTATTATTCCTTTCATAATACCTGCTGTTCAGAACTCTCGTGATCACTTTACAATTCATAGAACACAGCAAAGATTGATCAGAGTAAAATATAAACATATTTAGTCATAGCAAAACACATTTGCTAAATAGAAAAATACATATATACACATATATATATATATATACACACAAATATATATATACATATATATATACATATATATATCATTTAAAAATAAGGCTGGTGTTGATGTGAGTCATGTGAGGTAGGCTAATCGTAATAAGTGAGTTTTGATTTGGGCCTTGAAAGGTATGGCAGGGATGGCAAGGTACAGAGATGTTCTGGGTGGATTTTTTTTTTTTTGGGGGGGCGGGGGAGGAGTGCTAAGATTAGACACAGCCAACCAACACCAGAAAACAATTATTAACAGACATTACTGTTAATAATTATGTGATCAAAGGACAGGAAAGGTTAATGAGTGCAGGTATCTAATTGTATTAGAGGTTAATGTGTCTGTTATGGAAATGATTTTATTTCATCAGCTTTTAACATTTGATACTATTAGTAGCAATGAATAAAAATGACCCACATGCTGCTTGTGTAGTCTGGAGGTTAAAGAAGTTGGCCCAAAAGTCAATCATAAGTTTTAGTTAAAGTTATATACCCACACTTTACTGATCCACAGGTTAAAACATGTCCACACGATGCAGCGTTCTGTCGACGTTCCTACGTGTTACCAACACCAGATGTCAAACTCAGTCCGACTTCTCACCAGATTTTTTTTAAAAATAAAAATCTCCAAACACCAAATACATGTAAGTCCATGGGAATTAGACAGGAAACGGTTACATCACTGTAATCCAAACAACAAAAGCCTTTTATAAAAACAAATATCACAACCTCTGCCCTCACACGTCATGGACACTAAACATTTGTGTTTATTGTAGACCAGCAGTCCAAACAAAAGTCTGTAAAACACCAAAATGTTCTAGATCTAAACTTTTGTAGCCATGTCTGCAGTTTTCATCATAAACAAATAAGATTTATGTCTGTGAATCAATTAACATTACAATTGTTTTAGTTCATACCTAGTTAGGTTTTTCAAATGACTTCACATAATCTTTAAAACATATTGTAAAAAAATACATTTGTATTTTTATTATTATCAATGAGTGTAATAATGTATATATTCTTAAAGATGTTTTGGAAGATTTGACAAATCCAGTAAAACAGTGAAATATAAACTCCAGTCACATGACATTCATCTTAGACTATCACTAGTTAGGGTTAAAAAGAAATTCAAGTTTCTCTGATAAGATTTTATTCAGTGGTTTCAATAATCATTGACATGTGACTGTAAACTGCTGCTGATCATAGGTCTCTCAGCTGGTATGAGAATGACATCACTTGCAGGGAATCGGTTTGGAGTAAATAATTCTCAGAAATATCATATTGCTGCCTAAGAAGTGCTGCCAAAAATCTGTCTTGTGTCAGAGCTGCAGCCAAAAAAATAATTCAAGCTTGTGTTAGCCAACACTGTTTTTGTCAGGTGAAACTGGCTGAAGAATAAATGATTTTTCTCTGTCAAGAGGCTTTTACACTATTGGCTTTTATGTAAATATATATCCATATTCTAACAGTTAAAATACACAAGTTAGCATGAACTTAAATGAGTGATCTGATGTTACTGTATGTGCTAAAGAGCTGACTTTTCTTCTTTTCTTTTCTACCAGTTAACAGAGAAGTCCCCGTGTTTGCCCATAGGCGGCGCCAATCCATCAAGCCATGGCTTTCTTTTTACTTTGAAGCTAGTGTGGAAGTCGGTATCTGACTAACAATCTGAGCTCCGTGGCTTTGTAATAAAGAAGTAAGACATAGAAAGTTGACACGATACGTTAAAGCAGAAGTAAGAAATGACACTGCATTCTGTGGGAGGAAAATTCCCCTGAAGGGTGAACAACACACTGTTGTACGTGTGAAGTAAATTCAACTGATGACGTAATAATAAAGTAATGAGGAGATTATTAAGTGCCTGTATTTAAGTATCAGTAACTCAAATAATTAAATGTTGTATATGCTAGATTTCTTCCAATCAAATTCTGGCTATGTGAGCTTCCCATAGTACTTCTCAAATAGTGGGGCGGGTCCCAGGGGGGGCGTGTGAGGTTTCCAATGGAATATTGCACGCTGGACACAAGTATACCACTGCTGTTAGGTTTGAATGTCACTAGATGGCAGCAACTCATACAATGGTTTGTACAGATAAAAATATACATGTTATCAGGTTCTCAATAGTACTTTAATTTGCTGGGTTGTAGGTCTGCAGAGATAAGACGACTGCCAACATAGATACACGCCACACGGACGATGAACTGACACAAGGGGGCGCTTCTACTGCCCCACAGTTGAAGTGTTGTCCTGGAGAAACTGCCCCGACTGCCCATGCTTTTCGTAGACACAGCGGATAAGGACACGTCTTGTCAACATCGAGAGACACTTCAGATGAAGACGAGGTAAAAACACCTTAATTGTCTGATTGTTAGAAACTTGAGGAACAAAATGATGTGTTGCTACACTGTTATTTTTCCAACCAGTTGGACCGATTTAGTCCTGGGTTGTCTATGTGTGTCGTTTCTAATTAAACAATTCAAAGATAAGGAACTGTCAACTTTTATATAAACCTAAATTTATGTATCACAACACAGGTGTGAGCTTGTTAATCACCTCTTTCGTGCTGAAACCCTCCCCAGTGCCAACAGATTTACTGACAAGGTCGACTTTCTTGTTTTGATTAAACTTATTCAGCACTTCTCATGAAGACTGATCTCACTCAGCCTTCGTAACCACTGTACTTGCAGGTATGTGTGTCAAACGGTTCAGTTGCTGCACAGAGTGTGAGCACCATCGCATTTCACACACACTGTAGAAGATTCATACATATAGAAGATGAACTCACACATACACCGTGATGCCAAACAGGGCTGGATGGCATTACTAAATTAAATTAAGGAAATAAAACTGATGCCTAAATATTGAATATTGCAAGAATAAGCTTTGTTACGCTTATTTACTGGATCAGGCACTGGGGAACACAGAAATGCCCCATAAGTTGGTTCAGCAAAATGACATTTGGTGTTGGCCAACTGGCATGTTAAAAAAAAAAAAAGAAAAACACCAAAAACGTTAAAAAAAAGGGGGGTGGGGGTAAAATAGACGTGTGTTTATCTGTGGGTGTGTGGAGGGAGGTAAAGAGCAGAGCCGTTGAAAAACCACATGGGGCTTTCCTAACTTTGCATAAACTACTTTCTGTAGCTCCAATAATGAGGTTTGTGCACATCTGAACACACTGCACCCCCAGACCCTGGTGTGAGCGACAGTTGATTCTTCTCAACTTTAACATCACAAATCAAATAAAATTAACTAAAATGTCAATCTTTTCCACAAACTGTGAGAACATACTAGACCAGGGGTCTCAAACTCAATTTAACTGGGGGCCGCTGGAGGCAGAGTCTGGGTGAGGGTGGGCCGCATAAGGGATTCCACAATAAAGTTAAAAAAAA